AAGCCCCAAACCACCATCCTGTCCTGCAGCCCAGCGTCTCAGAGAGGGACCTGGACCACTGTCAGTCAAGTGCCTCGGAGAGGGACCTGGACCACCATCCTACCCTGCAGCCCAGCACCTTGGAGACAGACCTGGACCGCCATCCTACCCTGCAGCCCAACACCTTGGAGACAGACCTGGACCGCCATCCTACCCTGCAGCCCAACACCTTGGAGACAGACCTGGACCGCCATCCTACCCTGCAGCCCAACACCTTGGAGACAGACCTGGACCGCCATCCTACCCTGCAGCCCAACACCTTGGAGACAGACCTGGACCGCCATCCTACCCTGCAGCCCAACACCTTGGAGACAGACCTGGACCGCCATCCTACCCTGCAGCCCAACACCTTGGAGACAGACCTGGACCGCCATCCTACCCTGCAGCCCAACACCTTGGAGACAGACCTGGACCGCCATCCTACCCTGCAGCCCAACACCTTGGAGACAGACCTGGACCGCCATCCTACCCTGCAGCCCAACACCTTGGAGACAGACCTGGACCGCCATCCTACCCTGCAGCCCAACACCTTGGAGACAGACCTGGACCGCCATCCTACCCTGCAGCCCAACACCTTGGAGACAGACCTGGACCGCCATCCTACCCTGCAGCCCAACACCTTGGAGACAGACCTAGACCGCCTTCCTACCCCGCATCCCAGCACCTTGGAGACAGACCTGGACCGCCATCCTACCCTGCAGCCCAACACCTTGGAGACAGACCTAGACCGCCTTCCTACCCCGCATCCCAGCACCTTGGAGACAGACCTGGACCGCCATCCTACCCTGCAGCCCAACACCTTGGAGACAGACCTAGACCGCCTTCCTACCCCGCATCCCAGCACCTTGGAGACAGACCTGGACCACCATCAGGGCCTGGAGACAGAGGCTCCAGAACAGGACCTGAGCTCCACCACAGGGAGGGAATCAACCCACAATGAAGCCCATGAGTCGCAGGCCCTAGAGCAGGAGTCCCAGGAGTCCCAGCCAGATGAACAAGACCAGAACCGCCATCAGTCAAAGGAGCCTGAAGCTTCAGACCACACCCTGCGCCACCAGCCCCAGGAAGCCCAACCAACGGAGCAAGACCTGACCTGGGAGACCCAGACACCCAGGGTCCCCGAGGGGGATGTGAGTCGTGGTGGTACCCCGTTCTCTCCAGCACTTCAGCAGG